GGAATTGAATTTAAAGGCACAGTAATTGAAAATTATACTTTACGGTTAGCACACTGCATTTTCAATCCGGAGGTTGCCGGTCCCATCTCCCGGCACGGCAGGTTAAACAATGGGGCTGGTTTATTGAATTCCTTCCTTCCCTATACCTCTGTCCAACCAGCAGCACAGTCGCTTGTAATGTCGCATTAAGTGGAGTAAATTGTGGCCACCTCCCAGCTCTCCCAAGACCTCTGGTTAGCATGGGATGGTAGGGGTTACATAATACCCTTAAGAGGGCCCTCTAGAGCTCATTGCCGTAGAGGTTCTTCTGCCAGCAGTGGTGTGGAGCAAGCAATTTTAGAGCTGCGCATTCGACCCATCTATCAAGGTCCAAACACAAAATGAGCCGAGGGAATTGAATGTAAATGTACAGCAATTGAAAGTGATTACTTTTTACGAAAAAAATAATAATAATGCACAATTAAAGTAACTCTAGGCTTTTACGACAAATATTATGATTCGTAATGAGTGTTTTTTTCTTTCATTCAGTTTCAGCGTACGTGTGGGTTTAATGTAAATTACAACTTGGCACCTCCATCACTCGACAGCCAAGCAATTCAAGTTGTTACGTGGGAAAATGATGCCAATTGATTGGGGTTTTCAGCACGAGGAGGACTTGAGAAACGTCCCTTTTGTGGGTCCTAACAAATATGAATATATAAAACACCATGTATGTGATTTGAAAATGTATACAAATACCAAAAATATCGGTGATAATATTTAAAAATGGGAAATTATGGATTATTTGAAGCTGACACTCGTACATAAACGGTGGTACAGATGTCTTGTGACGCACATGTAATTCTCTAAATCTTCATATTTTTTTCAAGTAAGATTTCTTTATTTTATTCTATTTTAGATTCGTAAAGCGCCTTTAGCCAAGGAGCTCGACAGTGCTTACCGACTATGATACAAAATGTCAAGATAAGGGATGTGGATGGGGTCGTGACCAGGGCGGAGGGAGCGAGGTGGCGGCTGGCTGGGGTGGCGTTTTGGGGGCTGCAGGCGGTGCCGGTCGGGGTGGCGGAAGAGGAAGGGAAACGGCAGCAGAGAAAAGAGATGGGGACCTGAGGGCAGTGCGAAAAGAGAAGAGCGAAGGGGGAGAGTCGGATGTGGAGAGAGCGGTTTCTTCCAGTGTAAGGGGGCAAGCAGAGAGGAGGAGCGAAAGCGAGATTGGGAGAAGGGTGGATGAGAAACAGCAAGAAGATAGGCAGCTTTGGGATCAGAATATGCAAAAAAAAACATTCTAGATTTGAAGCTTTCGTGACTGCAAGGATTACTCTTTGTTTTTTTTTCGGTACAGCCACGTGACTTTACCGAAAAAAACAAAGAGTAATCTTTGCAGTCACGAAAGCTTCAAATCTAGAATCAATGCCCTCTACGGGGAGGAATTTCACTTACCCGAAGACGGCAGCTTGTGTTGCCTCCGAAACGTCGTGATTTAATTTTACCTACGTGACTTTACCGAAAAAACCAAAGAGTAAAAAAAAAACATGTTAGGAGTCAATTAATTGGGGGTCACAAGATATCTGGCCCACCACCTAGTACACTGCAGTATGCTCCTCCCACGTCCCGTGCCATTCAGAATCATAATCGTGATATGTGTTGATACTGGAGGCATCCAATGACCTAAAAGGATATTTTTCACAGATGTTCAGTATTTGAAAGATACCCAATATCCATTTGGAGATGGCGCGGTGGGCCTTCCTCCACCACGTGTGGCGGTGATTGTTGTTGTGACGCGGTTTAGAGCAGTCCAAACAATCGTCGGGGCTGCAGAAAGAGGCCAGGGGCAGCAGAGAGAGGCCAGGGCAGCAGAGAGAGGCCAGGGCAGCAGAGAGAGGCCAGGGCAGCAGAGAGAGGCCAGGGCAGCAGAGAGAGGCCAGGGCAGCAGAGAGAGGCAGCCAGGAGCAGCAGAGAGAGGCAGCCAGGGGCAGGAGAGAGAGGCCAGGGCAGCAGAGGGAGGCAGCCAGGAGCAGCAGAGAGAGGCCAGGGCAGGAGAGAGAAGCCAGGGCAGGAGAGAGAGGCCAGGGCAGCAGAAAGAGGCCAGGAGCAGCAGAGAGAGGCCAGGGCAGCAGAGAGAGGCAGCCAGGGGCAGGAGAGAGAGGCCAGGGCAGGAGAGAGAGGCCAGGGCAGCAGAGAGAGGCCAGGGGCAGCAGAGAGAGGCCAGGGCAGGAGAGAGAGGCCAGGGCAGGAGAGAGAGGCCAGGGCAGCACAGAGAGGCCAGGGCAGCAGAGAGAGGCCAGAGCAGGAGAGAGAGGCCAGGGCAGGAGAGAGAGGCCAGGGCAGCACAGAGAGGCCAGGGCAGCAGAGAGAGGCAGCCAGGAGCAGCAGAGAGAGGCCAGGGCAGGAGAGAGAGGCCAGGGCAGCACAGAGAGGCCAGGGCAGCACAGAGAGGCAGCCAGGAGCAGCAGAGAGAGGCCAGGGCAGGAGAGAGAGGCCAGGGCAGCAGAGAGAGGCCAGGGCAGGAGAGAGAGGCCAGGGCAGGAGAGAGAGGCCAGGGCAGGAGAGAGAGGCCAGGGCAGCAGAGAGAGGCCAGGGCAGCAGAGAGAGGCCAGGGCAGGAGAGAGAGGCCAGGGCAGCAGAGAGAGGCCAGGGCAGGAGAGAGAGGCCAGGGCAGGTGTCCAAAATGGGCGTCTCCATTTCAGATGGAAGGACGGAGGGGATGTGGAATTTCAAAGATCGTCCCAAACTCCCTGAAGTGTTGCAGCATCGGCGTCGGGAGATGCCTACGCGTATTATTGACAAGACAGCAACGGATCGACAAGAGCTGTAAATCATCGTTAGTCTCACAATACGTTCTTTACATCGTCCGCAGCTGTTGTATGCTGTGGAATTGTTGTACTGTTAATTCTGCATCTGGTCTGCGTGTCTTTGCTTCTGTGCCTGAGGAAGCCCTGGAGAGAGAGAGAGAGTCTTGTAGTCTCTGCGGGCTTTCACCTTGCCATAAATAACGCTTTCTGACCGTCTCTGTCTGTGGCTTTGACTTGGGATAAATACGGCATTATACTGTGCATCCATACCCACGTGGGGGTTAGACTGTCACAGACTACCGAGTTTTTGCCGGGCGTAATAGAGAAATGAAATCGCAAGATGCAACTGGCAGTCGTGCACAGCCACAGATGCAAGAGTTTTCTTTTTCTTCCTGCACTAAGATCACTCTTCATTAATACGTGTGAAGAATATGTGGATGAGAAGATGAAAGTAATGTCCAACGCTTCCCAGGAATTAAAACAGAGAACAGGATTGCATTGCTGGCTATTGTTCTACCCCTGTGCCACGTTGACTGTGGCAGAGAAAAGACAGAGAATGCCTCATCGACATAACCAGTCAGTTGGCTCAGCGGGGTTGATAGAATGACTGCCACTTTGTGAGGAAGCGAACAGTGGTTGTCCTTCGGAGAGGCTCGCCGCTGACACAGGAATGTGGAATTTCCACCACTGGCTGAGGCCTTTAAACACAAGATGAGCTCAAATGCATCAATACTCATTTGAGCAGGAAATAACTTTAACTCTTAACTTATTATCCTCTGCTCTGATCATCTGGGCCCCCGATTAAAATCTGTATATATTCCTGTGATCCATGCAGTGCTTGTTCATCCATTTGTATGTGTATAAGAGGAGTAACCTAGACTTGGCAGTAAATTAATCCTGTTATCTGCATTTTCTTCCTAAGATTAGTCTCTTATATGTTAGTCTCTCAGAAGCGGAAAATTCACCCCCTTAGCCGCTTCCTTGCTGTAGAAGTGGTGGAAAATGCACCCTATTAACCGCATTAATCAGCAGTCTAACTGCACTTGGAACAGCGTGGCAAATGCCACGCGAACACGAGTTGCTCTACTTCACCACAGACTGCAGTTTTTCTGGACGATAAAATACATATACCCACCCGCTCCCATACATCACCACCAACAGTTTATAAACTAAAAAAATGAGCCCAACGCTGTAAAATTCCAATAACAGACTCGTTTGTTGTATAATTCCAGTAAAATATGTGACGATTGCTCGTGTTGCGATCGAAACGTCGTGATTTATTATTTATTTTTCTACCTACGTGACGTTACCAAAAGAACCAAAGAGTATAAAATATGTATTGTTAGAAATGTACCACGGGCCGAATAGGGAAACAGAAGAAGACATTAAAAAAAAAACCTTGGTGTGCATTGTTGACATCGATTGTAACCCAACACGCGAAGCACGTGCGCTGATTTGCCCGCTGAACCGCACGCGGTCCGCATCGCTGCTTCTCAGCAGTGTCCATCACTCTGCAACACCCTACGCTCTCTCGAGCCCGGGTGGGTGGGTAGGTGGATGGGTAGGTGGATGGGTAGGTGGATGGGTAGGTGGATGGGTAGGTGGATGGGTAGGTGGATGGGTAGGTGGATGGGTAGGTGGATGGGTAGGTGGATGGGTAGGTGGATAGGTAGGTGGGTGGGTAGGTGGGTGGATGGGTAGGCGGATGGGTAGTCGGATGGGTAGACGGATGGGTAGGCGGATGGGTAGGTGGATGGGTAGGTGAATGGGTAGGTGGATGGGTAGGTGGATGGGTAGGTGGATGGGTAGGTGGACCTGGGTGGGAATGCGTCGTAGCTGAGAATATAATTCACCAACCCTTTTGCTTTCGCCTGGGACTTGGCTGCAGCACACTAGGTTTCAAAGCTTTATAGCTCATCGGATTCCTCCAGTATAGGTAAATAGTCTGATTTGACCTTCCAGTGCAGTGTTCTCTCGTTAGTCGCAACGAGGTGATACGTTTCGGAGTTGCTCCTGAATATCACATTTCACGGATAATGATATTGGCCTACGAAAACCTATCTTTGTAATGAATTACCTTAAATACGTAAATAACCTATTAAATACACGAACATAATCATAACACAAACAATTTTAATTGGTTATAATAAACACAAAGCTAATAAATCAACAGGAGAGTATTAAATAACAGTTTATAAATGAACTTACCTTAATGAATGATGATGCTGCGCGTCATCACTTTCTCTCCTTGTCGATGCAGCCGTGTCGAGTTGCAGATCTGCAAACAGCCAAAACGGGAGGTAGCAAGGTCGCGAATAACGAGGAGCACTGCATTTGAAAATATTCACACTCTCTCGGTGTAATATCCCACAATGAAAGAAATAATTAACACCAACCCCCTCCACCCCCCCATCGTTTAATATAAACGTTGCATGTAATAGGATTTGTGTTATTATATTAGCGTATTACTTGTAGTCCATTGAAAGAAAAAGATTACCAATTGTAAGAGCAAACTTATTTGTGATTGGGAACAAGGTGCATCGGAGGTAGAGACATCTCGCGCAGTGGTTAGCACGCTGCGCCACCAAACTGGCAGACGAGTTCGATTCCCAGCTAATGGCTCACATCAGTGACGAGCGATATCAGATCCGGTTCTGACCTCTCCACCTCCATCGCCAACCTCACCGAGCCAGTGTGATGAAGTATGGTAACAAATATAAAACTGAATAACATAGCATACAGAGGTCTTCGCCCATTGGTGGATAGGGAATGGTTGAAATCTCTTGTTATGTTTCAATGCATTTTAACAGCATGCAGCAGCACTCACTGTGATACATTAAAGATGAACTGTCTCTACTTTTTGGTTCTTTCGGTAAAGTCACGTAGGTAGAAAAATAAGCTTTAAATCAAGAATGAGCTGTCTCTCTCTCTTTGTACCACGTCCTTCCTCAAAGATCTAGGCGATCACGGCCTTCTGTTTAGCTCTGCCCATGATATTCACTTGTGAACTTTGCATTCGATACTCTCATTTTTATCCAATTTATCGAATTGCCAATGTAACTTCATTCGCCGTATTTCGTGGAGTCTTATTGTACCCATACTTTCCCCAGTAAAACAATGAAATGCGTCTGCATTGGAGGTATTTAACAAACGCACCGTGCCCAAATAATATCCTTTAATATCCCTTATCAGTGATACATGTCGCATATCCAATCCACACAGATCAGCTCTGCTCACAGTCCCATGAAGAGGCAATCTGACACCCGCTGTTTCACATTCCCGTCGGCTGTCGCTCATCATACTATTTTCCCTCCTCGCAACCACCTGTCAGTAGTTTCAGCCACTTATTATTCGAAGCATATGTGACGGTGACACCACACCTGGCAAGCTAGGCAGGCTAATGCAGTCTCAAGTTTTGTCTGAGCCGAGACGCCTTGCTATTTGTGCTGCCCCACCAAAGCTTTAAGCAAACTGTGCAAAAACACTCAATGGCCAAGCATCACCAAAAGGGTAGCGATTCGTAATTCAATGTTGGGTCAAATAGACCTTGTGAGTACAATGCCAACATGTATCGTATATCCTCCGCCATCCGACACAGGAAAATACGTAACAAAGTTGTAACGTTGGCACACGCGCCAATGTATTATTGCTTCAGCACCACCCGTGTCTTGGAGAGCGATCCACACGCAATTAACAATTTGGTGCAATCTTTCGCTGGAAGCGGCAACCAGCCATCATCAGGCGAAAGCAAAAAGAAAGAATAAATAAGTAACAAAAATAGTCGGGAAATACAATGTGGCTTTCCTGGATAAAATACATATTTGAATTTCTAAAAGAGTAATTTCCCAAGCCTAAAATTGCAGGAGACACTTTTATTTAAAACACATCATGTGTTTGGTGATATTAACAAATCACGAATGTCAGCCCTAACCTGTCCAGTAGCAGAACGGTTTAAACACTGAACAAGAAAGAATGTTGCACAACCTTGGTGTTGAAACGCGCTTGTGATGTATGCGCTTGGATTGTTTTCGATGTTGTGGTTCAAAACTGCCAGACAGAAAAGTCTTGTTCGCAAAAAATGTGTTTGAAGTGTGGAAAACAGTGTATTGTGTTGACACAGGAGGAAGACATTGAGCTCCTTTCATGTGTCCCACACAAGGCCTTTGTTTATAATGACAGAGAATGCATTGTACATGGACACAACAAAGCCTGTTTCTAATTCTCAAAAAAGGGTCAGACACTGTTCAGCCAGCGAAGGAAAGACGACATCACTGTAGGGGTCAGAAAGGCGATCTTTAAACAAGACACCCACTACGGCATCATCTCTCTAGGAGGCATCAACCGGGTGGCATCGTCACACAATGAGGATGAACGATGGTCCGGGGTGGCACATGCCAGGACGTGAACTCACAATGGTGAGTGTTCCGTCACTTCTGGCTTGACGACTCCTCTTGTCCACGTGAACAAGAGGAGTGACGTGCATTGATGCATGCGAATCATATAGGAGGCTTTTACCACCATGTCTGGGTCACTCTCCTTATCCGTGAAAAAAAACCGAGACAATGAGATGAACTTATCCCTCTCGATGAGACAATCCCATGGTGCTCCCCTTATCTGGAGGTAATTGTACACGAGGGTGATTTTGTCTCCACTTGTGCCACCTTCTCTTGTCTGCTGATGAATGCAGATAACGGGATGAGTTTGTCAACACTTCAGCATGTGAATCGTTACATCGCGGGTTCATGAGAGATTGTGGTGGCTTGGAGAGGCCTTCATCCAGCGGTGGATTGACCATGGCTGCTGATGATTGTGAAAATGAAAAGATGAGAAATGTGTACATCGATCCAAAGATGCTTGCATGATAGGCGTTAAGAGACTAAAGCCCGCAAGAAACACACATGTTCTCAGGAATCGTGGGCCCCACTGGCTCAAGCCTGTTGTGCAATCAATATAGAAGTTCAACAACCCATACAGTAGTGGTGACTAATTAAAAAGGCATGTTAACTGAGAGCTTATGCTCTTTATTCTGACTACATTGGCTCATTGTGTTCAAGTTTAATTCCTGTCCACAGCTAACATCAGTGGTAAGTGATATCTGAACTGGTCTTGAGCATCTTTCATTAACCAACCAAAATCAGGATCTTTATTTAGGCAACCCACGCTGACCAGCTTGGCAAAGTATGGTAAAACAACCTCCATGGTTAACAAAGCATGGGGAGGCCATTATCTAGCAGTGGATTGACAAAGGGCTGCAAACTATGACGTACAAATTATGCAGGATCTAAAAGTGCAGGTACATACACGTGCCCACGTTATCACTTTTCGCGTTTTTGATGATTTTAGATATGTAAAAATATTCACTTCTGCATTATTGATTTGGTGTATTCATATGTTTGCACTGTGTAGCACCATTGAGTTTTATAGAGAGGGATTTTGAAGGACATTTTCTGTCTCGTAGGCAAATTACTACAACAATAGCCTCTCTGTTTGGGCCCTTTTAACTTAACAAATGAATGGCCTCTAACCACAGAGGATCCTTGACATCACACAAGGCCGACATCTCAGAACGCTTTCCAGCATATTTTTATAACAATACTGTTTAACATTTAAAAGAATTGTCGCAGGCTTAGTGCACTGAATAATGACATTTTAGCTGCATGTCCACTTAACGAAGCATTTCATTATGATTTTTTGGAGAGTTATGTAAATATATTCAGCCCTGTGAAGTGAAGATTCCTCCTCAGCAGACCGTGGTTTCAGCGAGTTTGGCAACTGCCTGCCACCATGAGGAAAATGTACAGTGAGGGAAAAGCGTATTTGATCCTCTGCTGATTATGTACGTTTGCCCACTGACAAATAAATGATCAGTCTATAAATTTAATGGTAGGTTTATTTGAACAGTGAGAGACAGAAAGACAACAACAAAATCCAGAAAACGCATGCAAAAATGTTATAAATTGATTTGCATTTTAATGAGAGAAATAAGTATTTGACCCCCTCTCAATCAGAAAGATTTCTGGCTCCCAGGTGTCTTTTATACAGGTAACGAGCTGAGATTAGGAGCACACTCTTAAAGGCAGTGCTCCTAATCTCAGCTTGTTACCTGTATAAAAGATACCTGTCCACAGAAGCAATCAATCAATCAGATTCCAAACTCTCCACCATGGCCAAGACCAAAGAGCTCTCCAAGGATGTCAGGGACAAGATTGTAGACCTACACAAGGCTGGAATGGTCTACAAGACCATTGCCAAGTAGCTTGGTGAGAAGGTGACAACAGTTGGTGCGATTATTCGCAGATGGAAGAAACACAAAAGAACTGTCAATCTCCCTCGGCCTGGGGCTCCATGCAAGATCTCACCTCGTGGCGTTGCAATGATCATGAGACTGGTGAGGAATCAGCCCAGAACTACACGGGAGGATCTTGTCAATGATCTCAAGGCAGCTGGGACCATAGTCACCAATAAAACAATTGGTAACACACTACGCCGTGAAGAACTGAAATCCTGAAGCGCCCGCAAGGTCCCCCTGCTCAAGAAAGCGCATATACATGCCCGTCTGAAGTTTGCCAATGAACATCTGAATGATTCAGAGGACAACTGGGTGAAATTTTTGTGGTCAGATGAGACCAAAATGGAGCTCTTTGGCATCAATTCAACTCGCCGTGTTTGGAGGAGGAGGAATGCTGCCTATGACCCCAAGAACACCATCCCCACCGTCAAACATGGAGGTGGAAACATTAGGTTCTGGGGGTGTTTTTCTGCTAAGGGGACAGGACAACTTCACCACATCAAAGGGACGATGGACGGGGCCATGTACCGTCAAATCTTGGGTGAGAACCTCCTTCCCTCAGCCAGGGCATTTAAAATGGGTCGTGGATGGGTATTCCAGCATGACAATGACCCAAAACACACGGCCAAGGCAACAAAGGAGTGGCTCAAGAAGAAGCACATTAAGGTCCTGGAGTGGCCTAGCCAGTCTCCATACCTTAATCCCATAGAAAATATGTGGAGGGAGCTGAATGTTCAAGTTGGCAAACGTCAGCCTCGAAACCTTAATGATTTGGAGAAGATCTGCAAAGAGGAGTGGGACAAAATCCCTCCTGAGATGTGTGCAAACCTGGTGGCCAACTACAAGAAACGGCTGACCTCTGTGATTGCCAACAAGGGTTTTGCCACCAAGTACTAAGTCATGTTTTGCAGAGGGGTCAAATACTTATTTCCCTCATTAAAATGTAAATCAATTTATAACATTTTTGACATGCGTTTTTCTGGATTTTGTTGTTATTCTGTCTCTCACTGTTCAAATAAACCTACCATTAAAACTATAGACTGATCATTTCTTCATCGGGCAAACGAACAAAATCAGCAGGGGATCAAATACTTTTTTTTTCCTTCACTGTACCCTTGCTGAGCCTCATTTAACATTCTTGCAAGGATAGAAAAGCCAAGCAAAGGGATAGCCGACGTGATGGAAAAGTGTTTACTGACCTCTCGCTGAAAGCTGACTTAAGTTGCTCATCAATACTGAGACCCCGAAAGCCATGCCTGCATCTGGGGCTAGCGGAGAGAGATGGCTCTAAGAATTGAAATGTTTTGCATCGTCTAGCAGCGTCGTGCTTTTAAAGAGCAAGAGCCAATCTTCACGCTTCAAATGACTTCGTTTTTTTTTTTTACCCTGGGAGAATTCTGGCTAAATCATCATCGCCGCGTACGATTCGAACTCATTTTGATTCTATACACTTCCAAACACCCACCCATACCCCACAGCACCCCACAGCACACCCACCCCCGCAGCTGTCTCCTCCTCATCCTCCTCCGTATTCCACTGCCACCATCGCGGGGCCCGCCTAACCACCACCCCCCCCCCCTCCCCCTCCTCTTCCCATCGTGCACTGATAACCCTGAGCACGACTCCTCACGGTTCCATTCGAAAGAGAGGAGAGAGAGAGAGAGAAAAAAAAAATGTTGGTTGCCAAGGAGATGGTCAAAAAAACGGCCAATGAGCAGACAGATGGAGGGAGCTCGCGCCTTGAGGAGGAAAAGCCCGCGGGATCTTTCTGTGCGCGCGTCAGTTAAACGCTCGCGCCGCGGCTCCGGCGCCCTTGTTCACACCTCGAGAACGGAGGCATGTTGTGTGTAGGGGGGGGCTTTGTTTAATGCAATTAAAATCCAGAAATTGTTGGCGCCGCAGCACCGACGTGACGGTTCGCTGCGTCGCACGTTGATCTTGCAATGATTCTCAGTCGTGGGCTGCTCCGCACTGCAGTCGCAGTGCGCTTTGTTTAACTATTCACGTGTTAATGAGAAGGTGCGTATCGTGTGTGTGTGTATATATAAGGTGTGTGGTGGTGGTGGGGGGGGAGAGTCACAAATAACGTTGTCGTCAAATGAGAATTGAGGCCGTATTCATCTTGCGCTTACAGCCCTGAGCCAGTGGTGGAAACTCCACAATGGCGTGGCAATGGGCGAGGCCATCCAGAGGACGAGGCTCTCTGTTGACGTGACCACGAAGTTGGTGTTCGACTCATTGAGGCCGGAGGGACGACGAGAAGGATGTTGAGCTCGCAAGACATTTGTGACCGCGAGCCGATCGCTCGACCGCAAAGCCGGCTGGCCGGTTATGCATATACACACGGTTCTGATATAGGCAACACTCGCTTGCATTACGCTGATGGAGGTGGAGGCAGAGGGAAATGTCTAGATTTAAAGCTTTCGTGACCGCAAGGATCCATACTCTTCGGTTCTATTAGCTAAAGTCATGATTTTTTTATTTTTTACCTACGTGACTTTACCGAATAGAACCAAAGAGTATAGAGGGAAATGTCTCATACAAGCGCACTACTGTGGATATAAGCACAGTTGGCCTTGCTCTCAAGGGGTGTGCGTAAATACAGCTTCGGCTGTATACAGTATATTAAAATTGTGTCTTCTTAATGGTGAAAGATAATATCGTAATGATGATACCTGTTTAGACAGAACATTAAGTGATACAAAATTTGTTACATTGGCACGTAAATACATTACGCCAAGTTAGAAAGCAATCCTATCCATATCCGCATTCTTATAAAAATGTCATACTCAATCAATCAATCACCAGTCATCAATCACGGTTACCCACTTAGCACCTTAATGAAAAAAGTAATGCACGTAATTAGTGGTTTTCTCCCTCGTCAATTAGAATATTTTCGCTTAGGATACATTATTCAATAACATTGCCCACGAGCAGATCGCTCGGCACGTGCCGGATTCCGACAGCTCCCGGGTGCTCAGCAGGTTTGAGTCCGGTTAGCAATCGAGTGGGCAGGCTGTCAGGCATACCGGGTGATGTTGGGCTTGGGATGCGAGGTGGCCGGAAGATCGCAATGGAGCAGTGGATTCTTGAATCTATATTTGAGCGATACAATGGGTGCTCCGGCTTCCTCCCGCCAAAAAAAAAAAACACCTCTCATTCATGGCATTGGCCAACACACACCATTGCGGGACCCTCCTGCAAAAGATAGAGAGAGATTTGAGACTCGGCCAGTCTTTGTTGGGTATATAAAGGGTGTTGATATTCGTGTTAATGAAGGACCTTGTGGGATTTTATTGACATATTTCATGGAGTGGCAGCCATCGAATGGAACGCATCCCGTAAGCATGTTCACGGAGGAGATCGAGCGATGAAATCTGATGTCATTGTGGTTGCTAGGTGGATTATTGCGGGTGCTAGGTGGATTATTGCGGATGCTAGGTGGATTATTACGGGTGCTAGGTGGATTATTGCGGGTGCTAGGTGGATTATTGCGGGTGCTAGGTGGATTATTGCGGGTGCTAGGTGGATTATTAAGGGTGCTAGGTGGATTATTGTGGGTGCTAGGTGGATTGTTGCCTCGCAGGATTGTGAAAGAGAGTGACAACCTGAGGAGGCCTTCATCCAGAAGTGGAATGTCCATGGCTGATGATGATTATGACAGTGCCTGCCATAGAACAAAGACGGTCACTGCATTGCACGCTTTCAGATGCGCTTCTGCGGCCGTCTGGAACGCTCTCCATTCTAATATTAGGAAGTCACTGGAGCTATGCACTTTTCGATCATCATCTAGATTGACAAACTCATTTCTTTAAAACTGCTTTTTGATTTTAATTTGTTGTCCTTCTCCCGTACTGCTGATTATCATGGTTGGATACGTACGGTGCGAAAGCAGTTCAACACACAAACATGTCACTATTTCAGTTTGTGCTACTTGTAATACGGTGCCCAGACACTTTGAAACAAATGAAACAAATTTTGCTTCGCAAAAGCTGCTGAGTGCTCATGCAGCTGTTTTTTTTTATTAATAGTTTCAAAATATGCCCATTCCGTTCACATGTGGGAATAAAATATGAACGCAAACTGCTCCCCACAAACATTGTTTATCAGAAAACCATACAGCTCTTCAACAACAATTTTAATAAAATTATGAACAGAGGGACGAATATTGCTTCATATCAATTTGCCTTACAGTGTAATTGCATGATTACCCGTTGCTCAACGGAAAACTCAGATTGGTTGATTCAGCCGAGCTGACTCGTTGACGTTTTTATATATATCTAGTGATTTGACAAATTATAATTTAGCTCGGCGATGTATTTATCTTTCTGTCTGATCCAATATGCTGTACACAACCATGGCTCAGCTTCTGCCACAGTCATTGGTTCAGGCAACGGGGGCCAGCTGTGAAATAATCGGTCAATCCTCTCGAGCTGCGAGCAATTACTCACGAAACTCTTCATGGCAAAACATGCAACCACATTTGTTTTGTGTGATACCGTATTATACCGTATTGGCAGAGGTGCACAAACAACAGCAACAACAACAACAACCTCAACGACGTTTTGGCACAATGACCCTTCTTTTATAGCAGGGCAATGAAGAGTCCTTGCCCGAACCGTCCCCTACGAGTGCATTATTGAGATTATACGATGGGCTTATTTCGCCTGAATTTGTATTCAAAAGTTGGGGTACGGTACGTCTTATAAACTGTGCGTGTGTGGGTCTGACCGGCTTCGTGTAGCGAGCGGTTAGCGCAAACGCTGTGCTACGAACCCGACCACCAGAGTTGGATTCCTGCTCATGGCCATCGCCAGTGACGATTATCTGAAACGGTACTGGGCCTCCCCTACATCGACTCAGCCTCAAATAAGTACTTGGTGCGTTGTGTAAATATCGCCACTCGGGAGACAAAGGCGGCCGCGAATGGTGCTGGCCATCCACCCCTCGTGTGCCGTGCCGGCCCTCATATGTGCCGCTCGCTAACAGCACTTGCCCCAACAGTCTGTTTCGGCTATAGGGGGGATCTTTGTCTTTGTGACCGGCTTTGTGTAACTTGACACCAGACACAAATTTGAGGCGCCTCTTACTTTCCAGAGTGTCTTGTAACCCGGTGAATGTGGTGCGTGTATATATATATCCTTCTTCTTTGTCGAGCGGCTTTAGTGACGAATGTGTTGTGATTTTGCTATTTTTCTTTACGGCAATGATGGGAGGCTTATGCTGAAATCTTGGCACTGGGCCATAATCGATTTAAAAACTGAATCCCGCCTTTGCTTGAATTCACCTTTTGATGCCGCAGTAACATCTAAATGTGATTTTCGCGAGTTTGAACTTACATTTGGTCGCAGAAAATGTGATATGATGTGATATGATAAAATGTGATATGTTCAGCATGCCATCCACGACAAAGCACATGGAATTTGGCTGGGATGGTGCTGTCCTGAGCGCTTCGTTGATGTTGACACTACGGAACGTGAGAACAACAACATCTGCAGCGGTCAAATCTTACCCTTGAATGGTGAATCAGTAGACACACCCTGTATCAGAATCATATGTATTCATACTGGAGGAATCCGATCAGCTATAAAGATCTTTTTCACAGATGTTCAGTCGGGGCGGGTGATAAAGTTACAACAACAAACGATGCAAAAATACGACAGGAGTGCAAAAGTTTAGGACAGGTGAGCAAATCACGAGTAACTTTTTTTTTACTTTACCAGGTAAAGCCCATTGAGTTATTAGCTTATTTTTCAGAAGCGACCTGGCCACAAATGATAGCTCAACGAAGTGGCTTATCATCATGTGGAAATGTATGACAGCCAACTGTACCATAGAATTCCTCTTATCCGTGACAATATTTCCCACAACTCTTGTGACCTATTATGCATACGAACTGTAGTGTCTGCAGAAATTCCTATTACGTGCAGCCCTAGTCTTCCTCTATTCCACAATTATCTGCGGACTTTCCCAACCCACTTTGCGGATCAGCTTCCTATTATCTGCAAATTGTTTGAGGATAAGCGAAGCTGGCATATAAAATTCGTTATATTATGAATACTCCTGTTATCTACACTTTTCTCGCGGATAAGAGGAGCTAATTGTCAAAATTAATTCTATCTCCACGATTATCTGAGTGGGGCAAATTTTCCAGATAATCCTACACACAATCGGATCGATGATATGGGTCTGCACATCACCGTGAATACCAAGAAGTTGTCCTCTCCACAACGAGCTCTGTAGTCCTCCTCAGATGTACCCCTGTCATCAAGCACGAGACCGCTGGCGAGGTGGCAAGTTAATCTGGCTCTGGGCATCGCTAAGGTCCCCCAATGTTAAGTTCCCCAGATCTGGCAACTCTGCCTCTTTCTTTTTTATGCGAACGCCAGCAACAAGCGAAAGACGAGGAATGTTCGGAGTGGCAGATCTTGCAGATGTGCATCGTTATTGGAGCCCCTTTAATATCGTGCACAGTGCTTTTTCACTGCAGTTGTAATCAAAAGGAATGGTTTGATATATATTCTACATTTCAAAAGCAGATTTTTGGGGGTTTGTATCAGTGGGAGAAAATCTGCTGTTTTTGAATGGTATTGCTTGTTTGGGACAACTAAATTTGATAGCCTAAGTCAACTGATCATATTTACTTTTCAAACTACCCCGTGTTTGTCATTAAAAATTAAAATAAATGTCTCCAGAGACACGGCAAGAGGACCAAACAACAAGAGTTACGTCGTGTTGCTGAAAGGGTTGTACAACGTACAAACGTTAGCGCATCGTTTTCAGTATTTCTTGGAAGTGAACAAAAAACGCTTCGTAAATACCATTTCACTTTTAGCAGTGGCCACGCTTTGATTTTGCTTTGGTATGCTAGCATTTAGCATGTTGTGTAAAATTCAATGCCGTATAAGTAAATGTCAACATTTGCATACGTTAAATGAAAAGATGGTAAATAATTGGGTTTTCATGCGCGAGCAATTTCACTCGCATTTAGCTCCATTTAAAAAGAAAAAAAACACATCCGTACTTTTTTTTGATTTAAAGCTTTCGTGACTGCAGTAATTCATATTCTTAGTTTTTTCGGTAAAGTCACGTTGAAGAGAAACAACAAAATAACAAAATATATATAAAACAATAAAAAATTCTCACGACGTTTCGACCATAACTCAAACGGTCATCATCAGGTGTGTCGGTTTGCATAAATTTATTTTGAAAACGGCATATTTAATGATATAATTGCCCAAGTAGACGTTGCTCTCAGGGGCCTGGGTCACATCGCTGCAGACGTAGCAAGATCTGAAATCGCTGCAACCCTCAAAAACGCTAAGATGCCAGCTAGCAACCTCAGCAAAGATGAGCGTTTTGAATTATATAAATTAAAAAAGAGGAATGATATTGTAGTTCTCTCAGCTGACAAAGGCAATGCTACTGTTATCATGGATAAAATAGAATACAACAACAAAATTAAAGAATTACTCGACGATGGTAGTTATACAAAAATAAAAAGAGATCCCACCAACAGCCTCGTCACACAAACCAACAAAATAATTTCTGATTCAACCGCATTAATTGATCAATCTAAACAGTTTTCGTTGAAACCTTCTGCTGCCAGGCCACCAAGATTATACGGCTTACCAAAAATACATAAAGTTGATACACCTCTTCGTCCCATAGTCTCTACTATCAGCTCCCCCACCTACAAACTAGCTCGTTTTTTGTCTGAAATCCTGCGTCCTTTCACTGGAAAGACCACCTCTGCGGTACAAAATTCTACTCACCTGGTATCAACAATCAAGGGTATTTCCCTGTCCCCAGACGACCTGCTTGTCAGTTTTGATGTAGTTTCCTTATTCACCAAGGTTCCTGTACCTGACACCATTGCAATCATTGAAGACTTGGTTCATCAAGGACTAAACACTGAGGTACCCCCCCTGGTGAGACACTGTTTAACCAATACATACTTCACTTGGAATGGAACTTTCTACAAACAAACTGAGGGCACCCCAATGGGCTCCCCCCTTTCTCCAGTTATAGCTAACATTTTCATGGAGAAATTTGAGACTGACGCCATCCAGACTGCCACTCTGCGCCCAACCTTATGGAAGAGGTACGTGGATGACACTTTTGTCATCTGGCCACATGGCCGGCCTGCTCTAGACAAATTCTTCGACCACATCAATTCCATACACCCAGCCATCAGATTTACCATGGAAGTCGAAATAGATGGCAAGATACCTTTTTTTGGATGTCCTAATTAAAAAAAAAAGAGACCTGATGGTTCAATGAGCCACTCTGTCTACAGGAAAGCTACCCATACGGATGCT